GTGTCAGATGAGGCAAAATCTGCCACAAACAGATCTGGAAGGTCCCTTCCAAGCCTAACTATTCTGGGATTCTGTGATTAATAAGCCCAGCTTTGGGAAAGCTGATCCTCAGTAAATTAGAACTAAGTCCAGTAGAAAAATAGACTCGGTAATGAACAGATTACAGACCATGGAAAATAGATTCGGGACTAACAGATCTGGGACAAAGCAGGAAAAATAGACTCAGTTCTAACAGATCTGGGACAAAGCAGGGAAAATAGTCTCAGACTAACAGATCTGGGAGAAACAAGAGGAAATAGGCTCAGCACTAACAGATCTGGGAGAAACCAGGGAAAATAGGCTCAGTACTAATAAATCTGTACAAACCAGGGAAAATAGGCTCAGTTTTAACAGACCTGGGACAAACCAGGGAAAACAGACTCAGTTTTAAGAGATCTGGGACAAACCAGGGAAAATAGGCTCTGGACTAACAGATCTGGGAAAAACCAGGGAAAACAGGCTCAGTTCTAAGAGATCTGGGACAAACAAGGGGAAAATAGACTCTACTAACAGATCTGGGAGAAACCAGGGAAAACAGACTCAGGACTAACAGATCTGGGACAAACAAGAGGAAATAGTCTCAGACTAACAGATCTGGGACAAACCAGGGAAAACAGACTCAGTTCTAACAGATCTGGGACAAACCAGGGAAAATAGGCTCAGTTATAACAGACCTGGGACAAACCAGGGAAAACAGACTCAGTACTAGCAGAGCTGGGACAAACAAGGGGAAATAGGCTCAGCATTAACAGATCTGTGACAAACCAGGGAAAATAGGCTCAGTTCTAAGAGATCTGGGACAAAACAGGGAAAACAGGCTCAGTTCTAAGAGATCTGGGACAAACCAGGGAAAATAGTCTCAGTACTAACAGATCTACTACAAACCAGGGAAAACAGACTCAGTTCTAACAGATCTGGGACAAATCAGGGAAAACAGGCTCTGGACTAATAAATCTGTACCAACTGGGGAAAAAAACTCAGTTCTAACAGATCTGGGATAAACCAGGGAAAATAGGCTCAGTTCTAACAGATCTGGGATAAACCAGGGAAAATAGGCTCAGTACTAATAAATCTGTACAAACTAGGGAAAATAGGCTCAGTTCTAACAGATCTGGTAAAAAAGGGAGGGTGTGTGGGGGAAGGCAGCACATATTAAGGGTGGAGCATCACTGAGGGATTTAGGAATTGCTGGTGGGTCTCTGCCGGGACAAACTGGACATCCAGGGATAGTTCTGGGGAGGGAGGATGGAATTACAGGTGGAGGGATCATGTTAAGGAGCTTTTCCAACCCCTGGGATGCTGAGAGGGCCAATTTGACTTCCTGCATGGAACCTTCTCATTGTTCAGGAGCAAAGTAAAAGGAATATCCAGGAAAACACATGGAAGTACAGGGAACACGAAGAAAAAGAAGGTTTAAATGATGGAAAACATGGCTAAACGAAAGGAAAATAGGATGGCTCAGAAACACCCTAAAAATGAACAAAGCCACTAAAACCCCAGTTTCATTCTGTGATCTGGAGAGACTGAGAAAAAAAAAGACAATAAAAAACCCCTTCAGTCACCAATTTTAATCCTGAATCCACATTTTCAAAGCCAAAATCACCGGTTAGAATTTGCTGAGTGCAAGGGAAGGGAAGAGCTTTGGTGGGGCTGATGCTTCAAATAGAAATAAAAATAAAATTATGGAAATAAAAATGAAAATAAAAATGAAAATTAAAACGAAAATAAAAATTAAAAGCATGTTTCCAAGGCCATCTTTTTGGTGTTTTCCCCCCACACCTATGCTTTTTTCTCTTCTCTGCCCTCACCACAGGGACAAAACAAGGGGGGAGGGATGTTTCCCAGTGTTTCTCTGGAGCTCCTTGGAAGGTTGATGTCGACTGAACCGATCTCCAAACCAGTTCATGAATTATTTGGGGATCACAGAATCATGAAGGCAGGAAAAGATCTGGAAAAGCATCAAGTCCAACCCTTCTCCCAGCCCTTCCAAGGCCACCACTCACCCATGTCCCCAAGTGCCACATCCACAGGGATTTTGAACAGTTCCAGGGATGGGGATTCCGCCCCTAATCGGACCCCAAACCCCTCTGCCTCCTTCTCCACCCCAAAAACCCTCTAATTCCTTATAAATTTGATAGTTAGAAGCCAGGCAGTTAATTTTAAATATGGATTTAGCAGAATTTAAGGGAATTTATTGACCTTCATGTTGCAGGTTTTACAGGAATCTCAAAGGATTCACCTTGGACTTTTTAGCACATTTTTAGCATTTCTGTGATTCCATGATTCCACAAGTTGTTTGGAAGTTTCCCAGTACAGAAATCCCACATTTAAACATAAAAAACAAGAGTCTCCACAGGTCACAGCTCGTTCATCTCCCATTTCCAGGAGGATTTCCCTGTCTGCTCCACACACAGCAATTAATAAACACAGAGAAATGCCAGAGGGAAAATATTCACTGTATCCACTTCATCCATTTTTAATCCCCCTGAAATCAATTCAGTGCCCTGAAAATTCCTGTTTTACACAACTGGTAAGCAATGGATCCCCTAATTAAATATCCCAATCCATGGAAAGGGGGGGACATGCAGGAAGATCTTAGAAGGAGAAGGAAAAGGAAGGAGGGAGAAGCCCAATCCAAACTGCTTTGGTATCAAAGCCTCACATTCCTCAGTGCTCCCCAAAAATGTGATCAGGAATACCAAAAAGAACAGGAAAAAAAGGCAAGTTTATCCTCTTTCCATAAAGCAGAACTTGGAAAGAGCTGATCTCTATCAAAGCCCAGATTTTCCAGGGAATAACACAGCCCAATTTGAATTTAAAGTCAATAAAAAGGCTGAAATCCTGCTTGGAATTCTCTGTGTCCCACAAAGGAGGGTTAAAAGGAGGATTTCTACCAGGGAAGCTGTGGCTGTCCCATCCCTGGGAGTGTCCAAGGCCAAGTTGGAGCAACCTGGGATAGTGGAAGGTGTCCCTGCCCATGGCAGGGGGTGAGATTGGATGAGCTTTAAGGTCTCTTCCCACTGAAACCATCCCGGAATTCCATGAGCATCCCTCCCAGGCTGGGAAGTGCAGCAGGACTGGAGGGATGTCGTGCCCTGGAGCGACACAAACCCCCTGGAGATTTCCCGCCCGGCTTCGCATCTTTGGGCTCCTGGATTTGATTCCCAGTTATTATTCAGCAATAAGGAACACGGAGTCAGTCAGGCCCTGAATTCCAGCAGCTCATCAGCATATTAATGAGCTCCTGGGAGGGAAAGGATCCCAGCGGGAGGGAGAACAAACACTGCTGGAATCAAACAAGGAGAGGTTGGATTCCTCACCCCTGATTCCACACCAACAGGCTGATCCATCCACAGCACTGCTGCTTTCCTGGAGTGCATGCAGGAAAACGGGAAGGGGAACATTCCAAAGGAAAACCAGGTGGTTCAGCAGCTCAGATTTTGTTGGGGGGGGGAAGGAATTCTACCAAGCCTTAAATCCAATTAAAAATCAGCCTCAATTCAAACAACAGCTTCCCAATTCTGCCTCTATTTCACCAAATAACTCTGATTTAAAACCTCCTGGTTTAAACTTGATTTTTATTTCCTCTAATGATCCACCTAAGCCAGCCCACACTTCAAAAATTCTTTAGGAAATCACTGTCCTTCGAGGAAGATCAGAATGGGAAAATGAAGGATGTGAATAAAGGGATGGTGCTCCAAGTCCTTGGGTCTGTGCCAAGGATTCCCCATTCTTCCTAAGACAAGGATTTCCCAGTTTCCCCAACAGCCAATTTGGCACAAAAACTTGTATTATTTCTCTTGGATTAGATCTCTCTTCCCCCCCACCCCCAGGTTTGGAAAACAGCAAAGAAATGAGAACGAGAAGAAAATCAGATTCAAACTGATCCTTTCAGCCAAAAGCAATCACAGAAAAAAAAATAAATATTAAATACTTGAAAATATTCACATAAAACTGAAAAAAACCCACATATTCAAGCTGCCAGTCTCCTGATTGCCATCCTTGTTTTCTTTCTGCCTGTATCCCACTGGAGTTTTATTCCACAGCTCTTCCCATAAGTTCTGAGCCCACCCTCAGGAGTTGCCTCTTTTCTGTACAGAGGTTAAAATTTCAATTTTCTCCTCCTCCTTTGCTGTAGAACTTTATATTTCCTGAAATATTCCAACTAATTCAGACTTAAAAGGTTCTGTTCCCGGGAATATTCCGTACACAAAGGAGCTGAGAGTGTCTGATGCTCACTTCCATTTCCTCCTCCACAAAAGCACATTCCCAAGCAATTCCACACATCAGGGGGAAGTCAACACACCCAACAGGCCCCACAAATATAAAGTCTTGACACAACATGACACCCAAGACCTAATTACATCCAAAATGGGAGAAGAAGGAGTTTTCCAAGGCTGGTTTTGGAAGGTGCTCTTAAGATGAGAGCAAAATCCACGGGGAAAACCACTGAGAAACCAAGTTTTTCCACCTAAATTCTTTCCACATCAGAACCCTTCAGCTGCAGAATTATGGGAAACACCTTTCAGTGCCTCGTTGGAGTATTAAAAGTGACACTTTTAGACAACAGGAGATCCTGGGGGATCCTCACTTCCCAGCTGGATTATTCCAGCACATGCATGGGAAGCTCAGCTCAGCTCTGGAGGGAAGTTGAGCCCAGCTCCAGAGCCAAGCCCAGCTCAGCTCCACACACAAAGCTCCCACTGACCCTCCCAGCAACTTCTTGCCCGTTTTGTTTATCCAAAGAAACCCCCTTTTGATCCTTTTCCTTAGGATTTCCAGGGCATCCTCCTATGGATTCAACTCTCCTCACTACTCACTGCGCTGACATCACTGGAAGGTTTTCCTTGTGAATCCCATTCCCTGATGAATCCCTCTTTATCCCATCACTCCTGAATGACCACCTGCTCCCCCAGTGGGACATGGACACTCAGGAAGGAGCCAGGGAACACCAGTCCTACCTGTGTATGCCATGTTCTTCGGGTTTCCATAGGGAGCCCCCGGTTGGACGGGGCTGTAAACAGGATTCATGGTGGAAGACCAGGAACTCTGGGAACAAAAGAAAAGCAGAATTGAGATGTCGGCTCCAAACATCCCCCTGTTAGAATTCCAGACACAGAGAGCTGGGAAGGGAAGGATTTAAAACCAGACATCACAACCAGAGAGATATTTAATAATTCAGGGCTTGGATCTCTCCGTTAATTCCCAGAAATTCTCCAGCGCTGTGTGTTCTGCCTACAAATGGAGCAGATGGATCTGACACATCCCTGCTCCAGGGGGGCTCAGGATTCATGACCCCACTTCCAGCTGCAACAAAGAGGAGAAGCCACCAGTCAGACCAGGAATCCTCCCCCTTGGAAGAGGGAAAAGTTCTTGGGTGATGAAACCAACCCCAACCGAGCCCCGACCTTTGGGGAATCAGGAGATCAAAGCCCCTCTGCAAAGATTTGTGAGCTTGGAGTGGGAAAACCTGGAGGTCAAGGCCTGGCTCCTGTGCAGGGCATCCAGTGCCACCCGGCCCTCTCCCAGACAGGGACATGGAATCAAGATCTTCCGTGAGCCAGGAGATTCCAAGAGCCCTCGCATTCCTCTCCGCGATAAACGCGGTGGAGCCGGGTCAGCTCTCTGGGAGTTTTCTACAAAGGAAAGCCAAGGAACTTGGGAATTTGCGTCTCCCAAGTGTCAGTTAAGCAAGTGGCTCAGTTAATTATCTTAATGAAGCACATTCTCAGTCGTGATTAAGGGGAAAATCAGTCATTAAGCTCTATTAGGCAGCGCATTTGTCTGCACGGTTATCCAGTGACGATCTCACGCCAGACCCAAAACCATCCTGCCTTCCCAATCTGGGGGGTTTTGTTCCAATGTGCTGTTTTCCAGGTCATAAATAACCCCCTCCTTCCCAACCGAGTGTCTGGTGATGGATGCACAGTTTGGTGGATCATTAACTCCTCCTGCTTTACCTCCAATCATAAACAAGTCCAACGGTGAACGGCAGCACCGACCGACTTGACAACAATTAGTGCTTAATTAATTAGCTGTCCCTCCACCCCCCAGCTGGCACAGGAGGAGCAGTTCTGAAAGCCAAGGAAATCAGGGCTATAAAGCAAAGCCACAGGGACGCAGGGATTGCCATCAGGGGCCTCACGGAGCGTTCAGATCACCAGGAAAATCAGTGTAAAACTTTACGTCCGTGGAATGTTTGGGCTCGGGATTGACATTCCAGCAGAAGGGTTTGATGGCCCTTGTCCAAAGTCCCCTTCCCTGGGGAGCCTGTTCCAACATCTATGAATAAAACGAAATAAAATAAAATAAAATAAAACAAAATAATAAACCTGGCACCCCAAATCCAGGAAGTTCCTGAAGTTATTCTCATTATCTTCTCAAAATAAGGGAGTAAAATATTTACAAACAGAGTCCTAATGCGAAATAAATCTATTTTCCAGGGGTTTTAAAGCAGTGACACGGACAGGTGAGTCCTTGTGTCAAGGTGACCTTCCCTTTCCCCTCCCACTGCATTGTCCTTGTGAAAGTGGGATGGAAATGCTTTTGGGAGCCCCTTCGGGAAAAGAGCAGGATTTTCTCTGAGTGCCAAAAGATCCCTCATCTCCCACCAGGCAGCAGAGAACCAACATGAGGAGTGGGAACAAAGAGAGAAGGCAAAGCAAAAAAGCAACGTTTCCTCCCTGACCTGTCGGCCCTCAACATTCATGTTATGCAAATCACATGCAAATCACATCCAGCCAAAGTCTCCTTGAACATGAAAAGGCCTCCTGACCTTGCACTGCATCCAAATCCCAATAATTTCCTGACAACTTTTCAGGGAAGTCCTTTGAAGCCTGACTCTCACTTGGGATCCATGAACAGTAATTAAATTAACTCCCATTTCAGCTGCTAAAGGTTCATTCAGGAGGTTCCAGGGCTCTATCCCACCTTTTCCCCAAAAAAAGGCTGCTGTGAGCTCAGGAATTTGTAACACAAGGGGGTTCCCCCTCAATTAACAGCTCCTGCTTTAATTACTCCTTTATTTTGGCTACACCAGAACCAAAAGTTGATTGGACACGTTTCACATGGAACAAAACATTTGATTTGCTACAGAAATAGAACAGGAATTCTAATGGAAAACAAGAATCCTGGAATGGTTTGGGTTGGGAGGGACCATAAAGCTCATCCAGTTCCATGGGCAGGGACACCTTCCACTATCCCAGGTTGCTCCAATCTGGCCTGGAAGCAGTTCCCCTGCAAGAAATTCCAGACTGAGGAAAACCCAAGGATGTTGGCAGAGCTGGTCTTATATTGGCTTGTTTCCTCTTTCCACAGATGGATCCCGTGCTGTGAATTCCCAGCTTTTCCTCTGCAGGATGACGGGTTTCACCCCCAGGCGACCCACAAACACATGGATTTCTTCAAAGCTCCCTGTGTGTCCAACTCTGCTCTCAGCAGTTCCCAAGCAGCTTCCTTGATATATTCCCTATTAATTCCTTTCACTGCAAGCCTTGCTGATGTTCCCTTTGGAAGTGATCCCTGCTGGAATCTTGTACTCCCGACTGAGCCGCGTCCTGCTCCAGCTGATCATCTCCTTTCCTTTATCTCCACAACCCTAATTCCTTGTGTTTTGCTGGAAAGACCTCCAGGAACACAAGACACTTCTCTCTGCTCCTTTCTTTCCCCAAATGATGGATTGAGAGGCTCTGGTTGGCCATTGGGAAAAGCCCTTTGGAGAGGTGGGCACTGCGTTGCTGCACCAGGTTCACCAGGGATTTGCTGGATGGAACTGTTTTCCAAGGTTTGGGATATTCCTAATGGCCTCCAGCCAGGAGTTTCCTTCTGGTGGGACACCAGAAGCCTCGGAGGGGTGGGAGGGCAGCGCTCCCACTTTTCCATTCATGGATATCTCATACTCAGTCAGAGAAATGAGGTTGTGATGCCTCATCACCCTCACAGCCAAGAATTCCTTCCCAGTATCCCATCTAACCCTGCCCTCTGGCACTGGGAAGCCATTCCCCCTTGTCCTGCCCCTCCAGCCCCCTGGGAGAAACTCCTTTATGGGATTCCATGAGCGTCTACAAGGACTTGAAGTAGGAATGCAATGAATTCACAAGTTTGGTTTTACTTGGAAAATAAACTCGACATTCCCAGATGATGTTTTGGGAAATACTGGGTGGCATGTTTGGGTTTTTTCCCTTTACAAAATAACAGAGTTCCTTGTTTAATTCAGTTTTAGGAGCTGATTCCAACAGCAAGGAAGAACTAAGAAGGAATTAAATCCATAATAAGCAGGTCAAGGTGTAAGACAGGACCTAGGCCGGATGCTTGTCCTCTGGAAAACCAGTCCTAAGATGTTGCACAACGGCCCAGGGAACAGAGGGAAAGCCCAGGGCAGGACCTGGGTGATCCCACAGGAATTGCCAGGCAACAGGAGGGGAAAAAAATGTCCCTGATGGCAAGAAAAGGAGAGGAATTGTGAGAGAGCCTGGGAATACACATCCAGAAAGAAAAAGGAAAATGCTTCCCAAGCCCCCTCTTTCTTCCTTTAGGTTCTTTTTTCTCCAATAAAACTTTTTGAAATCAGTATAAAATATTCTAGTTATTCCTTTTCAATGAATAACATGTACTGAATCAAATTTAAGTTGATAATTTTATATTTAATTCCTTTAATTACAGACGTGCATTTGAACAGGACGGGGTGGGAATATGGAAGTCAGAGCACAGGGAATGACATCCCATAAACATAATATACATTTCTCCATAGAAATTTCCCAGGGCACAACCATCCCTGCATTACTGGGATCATGCCTTCCCAGTATTCCTCATTGGCATTACTGGGAACGTGTTATCCCACCAGTATCCTTCACTGGCATTCCTGGGAATGTGCCTGGAGCTCTCCTTTTTTATTTGCTGCCAAATACCTGTTACTGCCTGGAAAGAGAAGGAAAAGTCTGATCCCAAAGGAGAGGAATGTCATTGTGGAATCCTATCCTGCATTTCCACAAAACACAAGCAAAATATTATTTTTAGGAAAAGGTTTTTTTCTCCCAGAGGGAGCACTGGAACAGGCTCCCTAAGGAAGTGGCCACTTCCAAAGCTGCCAGAGCTCAAGGAGCACATGGTGAGACTGTTGGGATGTCCTGGAGCTGGACTTTGATCCTTGTGGGTCCCTCCCAACCCTGGAAATCCCTGGATTCTACGATCTGCTGAGGCAGCCGTGTGGGAGCAGAGCAGAATTCCCATCTCCTCCATAGCTACATTCCCGAGCTCCTGAGTGACCCAGGACTTGTAATCCCCTTCTGCTGGAGCATGGTGGAAACAAATGCTAATCCTCCTGATTTGCAATTCCCAGCTGATCCCGAAAATCTTCTGCAGACACTGGATGGGGGAATAGAAAAGGGAGCAGAGACAGAACAGCAGTGACGAGGCCAAGCCAAAAAACCTCCTCGGCCCCTGACAGCTGGAAAACATCACGGGATCAAAAATCCTGGGATCAATAGGAAAGCCATAAGAACTGAAGAATGCTCCTTGAGGAATTGGATTAGGAAGGAAGAGGGAGAAATTCCAGAGGCGGAGGGAAATGTAAAAGCAGCAAGTGCATCTCCGAGCCCAAAGCCAGGAGCAGAGGCTGAGTCACAGCAGCTATATTTGGAATAAATCCAGAAGAATCATTCCTAAAATAGGTGAACTAAACCCTAAGAAGGAGAAGAAGGAAATTCCATCCTGAATATAAAGTGAAAAACCTCCTCTTGCAGAGTTCAACGTGGTAAGGAAAGCTCTGGGCTCCCCAGCATCCCAAGGGAATGAAACACCGAGGGAGCTGAAGGGGACCTTTGTTAAACATAATCCTGGAATTACAAAGGAGCCACAGGAAAACACGGCTCCATTTCCAGCCTTGATAATCCCGTACTTAACACTCTCTGTCCCTTGGAAAGAAAAAACCACCCCTGTTTTGTTGGGGTTTGAAGGCTGGGGAGTGTTTACCCACAGACCAAAGCCAGGCTCCAGCCAAACAGCGGGAACAGCAGGAACTCCGGGGGTTCCCTTTCCCAGGGATGATGAGA